CATTTAATTATTGGTCAGAATGTCAGTTAGACAATATATTCTTGAATAGTCATTTTCTTGTAGCACAGGGTACTCATAAATATGTAGAATGCGGCAGGTTTTCCGTTTTGCATGCAAGACAAATATTCTGCAAAACTACCAGTCTAGTGTCATTATATGTATAATCTCTAATTGTTTTCAATGCTACAAAAATTGCTTGACTGTCTATTTTTAGGCGTTGTTGTCGACCTTGGCTTTCAGATTTGTCGTGGCTTACCGCCTCACTAAATTTACATCTTTCTATGTTTTATATTGGTAGATCGTTGTCAGGGTTTTCACGAGTTTTGATATATAGCTCTGTTATCCTCCTCCAGGTTAGGACGTCAGCACGAAAATAAAAGCATGAATATCGAACGGTTGATTAGGCGTAACATTGGACACAAAACCTCACAGAATTATAACTTGCACTGATTTAAACATTCCACTAATTTCGTATGCATAAGCAAACGAGAGTTCTACAGGTAAGCAAACTCGAGGAAAAATCATTGCCTCGAGCATTCAGCTAAAAAGAAATATATAATGCAGGGAATAAATCTTGTGAACTTCGTGGTCACGTGCAACAGTATTTGATAAGCTTGCCGTGATTTAAGTTAGAGTAATTTTGTTTTTCGATAAAACGCTCCATCAGCTCCTTTGCGATAGATAATGTGCACATTATTTCAAGAAAATGCTATTTCAAACTGGTGATTTAATAAAGAGGTTTGTATATTCTAAATTCTTTCAGATGAAATCCAACTGTTTTTACCACCCGCATAGTTCGTGATGTTTGCCTTCAATTAGTATTTGAATACCCCTGACGGGCACTTCACCGCGAAATGGTGCTAGAACCTTCGGGACTTTTAAGGGTCCTGTGAGTGACAAAAGCAATTACTGGCAATTTAATAGCTCTTAATTTTTTTTTCCCTATTTTTCATAAGATGAAGAATATAGAAATTTCGATACATGAACTATAGTTGACTCCAGGTGAAATACTCTGAAAGACAAGTTGACAACGACGAAATGGTTTATGGAGCTTTCAGCACAAGTTTAAGTGTTATTCGGGATCGTTAGTTAATACTACCTAATATCAAAACAGTTATAATTTGTCAGAAGCCTTTGATAGCCTAGTCAAGAAGATCTTTTTCGAAAATTAGGAACGCAGAACACGCGGAAAAAATGTGAGAGCCATGGAGAAACCAGAATTCCTTTCTGAGATCAACTTTGAGAATACCTTGCTTAAAAATTGGCTCGAACGTAAGCGTGTGTACATGGGGATATGAAGCAATGATGAAGTTTAAAGAGCACGAGAGAAGCGTAATATTTGCTCGAGGCGCAGCTGAGGAAAACTCTAGCTGCTTGAGGGCTTTCAAAACTTTCCAAGTGCTTCATATCTCCATAAATGCACAACTGACATACCAATTGTTTTATACCTTTATCGACAAAGTTGTTTGGACGTTTTTTCTCACAATTTTAAAACGTTTGAGAACGACAGTGCGCAATTTTAGCCAACTCTGAAATAAAAAAAATTAGATAAAAATAGCAGAGCACATGTAGCAACTGGATTTAAATTTTTTATTTCCACCGCAATCCTTTTATTTAATAGTTTCATTGTACAATGAATTTGGGACCTCGTGTCAGTTTTAAGGAGAAGTTTCCTAAGAAATCACATGATTTTTGACTCTTTGACTGCTTTCGGTGTGCTTTAATCATTCGACAACGGACACCGCCGGTTTGAATCTCGCTTAGCAACCAGGCCAGTTACTATGTTTTAACGATAGATTTTTGAACAACGACAAGAAGCGACTCAAAATGGCAATCTTGACTCAAGCAAAGTATCTGAGCAGCAGATATTTGTGAACTTCGTGTTGTGGTTTTGGCTGTGCGGCCAGAAGTAAACTGACGGCATCTACGATCAAACTCTACTGGAACAAACGTTTTGGTTAATCCTTGACAACTTGAAAGATGCGCTACAAAGTAGATATTTACACGAACCTTTCTAATGCCGAAGAAAAGAATTGTTTTTCCTTTAATTAAAAACAAGCCCTACGCAATCTGGACCAATAACAGCTGATCTTAATCTTGGGTTACAGCTCTAGCAGAAATTTAACCCTGTAGTTTAGAGAGCCTAAAAACTCCGTTAGCTGCGAATATCAACAAATTTATTTTTGTACTTAACGATTACGAGTAAATTTACTACAATTTTATATTATGTAGAGAGCACAGGCTGCCCTCAATAGCCATAAAGGGCTAGAAAGATGGGGGGCAGCCTCACCTAGGTGATTGATTTATGGATATTGAGGTCAGGTACCACTCACGCACACACACCTACACGAAAAGAAAAAGAGCAGAAATATAGATTAATAGATAAATAAACAAAAAAGCAAGAAAAAGAAAAGCAAAAAGAAAACTTAGGATGCCAGTATTACACAACGGAAAGCCTGAAATAATGTAGAGTTAAAAAATAAACAACAACGAAAAAATTCTGCAAATAGTAATTAATATTTCAATAAGTTTGGACTAATGCTTTTCCTTGAAAGGTCTTAAAGGGAGAAGCTTGATCTCATCATATGTTATTTCAAACTTAAGCACCCTGGACCTTACTTTGAAAATTCCATAATTTGCTCTGACTTTTGGGTTAGTATAAGAGCGTATAAGTCATCTTGCAGGAGAACTTAGAGTTATGGCCATGCATGTTTCTAACAGATGGCATCTAGAGGACCACATTCTTGCCCTGGCTGAAATACATGCCTAAAAGCTCTTCTACTTAATGGTTACGATAATTCTCAAACAGGATGGTGTCCGGTGTTGAAAGCCTGATTTGAAGCGGTGCATGATTATAAGTGCTGGCCTCACCACTTTGGAAGAGGTTTTAACAACGATGCACTATTCAGTGATGGAGATCACCCGTCTTGCTCCGAGGAAATGGTTAAAAAAAAAACAAACAAACAAATAAACGAATAAAAACTAAAGGGAAGGCGGTTGCATAACGGTTTGGACGATATGTAAAAGGGTACAGGCTCAACAGTGTGTTCTCGGACAAGACACTTTGCTCTTACCCAGTGCCTCTCTTCAATCTCCGCCCAAAGTGTGAATTGGTTACGGCGAACCAATCACGGTAGACTGACAAAATGCTGGGGAAGGGGGTACCCTACGATGGACTAGCATCAAGTTAAGGGGGAGGGAGAGGGGTAGAGCAAAACTCCTAATCATGGTAGGAAGACCTGCCCAAGGCTATCAGGGTGGTTACCCATCGTTTCGTACCCACGGTTGTTTCGAACCAAATCGTTTCGTACGTATACCCAGTCAGTTGAGTCGTTTCGTACCCAAACTAATTAAAAATATATGTTTTCCATGTTCACATTTGGAGGAACAATATCACAGTTTCACAAGCTGTCATTGTTTAAAAAAGTCACATGTATGAACAAAAGACTTTTCTATTAAAAATATCACACTAATCTTGTGCTAAGCAATATCTAAGTTGTTTTTGTTCAGAAGGTCACAAGTGTCACAAGTTTTTTTTTTTGTAGGTTACTCGTTTGACTCTACAAACTTGTCCAACGCAACGATTGACATCTGTTCAAACGCTGGTGCGTGAGGAATTTCTAATATATGTATGAATCGATCAGCGGTTTGGGTACGAACCAACCCAAACTTGGTACGAGCCAACTTAAATTTGGGTACGAAATGACCGGATACCTTCAGG